GGAGAGTCGGGGCTCACTGAAGGAAAACATCTTCTACAGATGCTGGGAGCTCATTGGGGGAAAAAAGCATTGTTTTGCTGAGAGATGATCAGATTCCCTGAATCCTCAAGAACTTTCTGCTTTTATTGGCATCTTCCTCCTGAAAGAGAGGAAATCTTTTAGAGTTACCTGTGTTTCTCTATACTATTCTCTGTGGCTTGAGAAGAAGAAAAAGAAGAGGAAAGACGAGATTTAAATCTGCTTTGCTATTTGCTATATTGATGTATTTTGCTTTAAAAAAAAAAAGATATAACAGCTTCTCAGCACCCTACCAAGGATGGCAGTATCACATCTGTGACCCAAGATTAGTAAAGAGGCAGATTTGCATAGCAGAAGAGCTGTGGAAATGAGAAAAGAAACAAATAGCAGAATTCTTTATCTAGCAGGTACAAAATATGCGTTTCCCCATGTGTATATGTACACACACACACACACATAAACATACACACAGATGTGTGTATATATATGTGTATATATACATATATATACACACAGTTAATCCTCAACTTTTGCAGAGGTAATGTTCCTAGAAAACAACGTGAAAGGCAAAAATGTGAATGTTGACACATTAAACCCATGGGAAATAATGGGTTAGGTTCCTGTGACTCCCCAAAAAATTGTAACCTTTCATTAGATATTGCTGAAAATACACTTTCCTCCATATAATTCTTTGCAACGAGTCATTAATTCTGATAATATGCTATTTTCCTAGCACATACAAGTGTATGTAATATGTGTATATATAATACATATGTGTATATATATATATCAACCCTTCCATATATATATATATATATATATATATCAATCCTTCCCCATATGTGGCTGTCTGAGTGTGTATCAAGCCTTCTCTATATTCCCCACTAGAAGTAGAGAAAAGAAAACCATGGACAGAAGGCACATGTTGTTGGGACCAGGTTCCCTCCAGTGTCTAGGTGACAAAGAGGAAAAATACATTTCAGAAATAGTTTTCAATAACTCTACTCACAAATGCTGATCCCCAGAATATGTAGCCACTTGGCCATAGGAAATTTCCCGGTCCATAAAAATTCCAAGGAAAGAAAGCAACAATCATTCCTAAGCCAAAGTTCATCAGGGCAATAATGATCTGGACAGTCTAGAGAAGAAAGAGATTCCATAAGAAGACAGAGAAAAGACTGATTCACTTCTCTCCAGACATGGAGCTAAGGGTCCATGGAGCCCTCCCCAAATGCCTAATTTTCCAGAACCTCCCAGGAAGGCATTGGACTCCATTATCCCAAAGTCCCTTGCACTTCTAAATCAATCATCTAATAATAATATGATTCTGCCCCTTTCATATACTGGTAGTATGGCCCTAGGCAAGTCACTTTGCCTCATAGTACCCCCCCAAACCTCCTAAATCCTTCTAGAATAATATGCTACAGAACACATCCTAATTTTCCTTGATAAAGCAAATTCCTCTTTGAAAGCACCTTATACCAATTAAAACACAGGTTTGGTCCAAAACCAAGGGAAAGACAGCCCCCTTGGGCAACCCTAGGGGCATTCTTGGTGAGTTTAGGAAAACTGGTATGACTGCATATGCCTGGAATAGCCATTCTCTATAGTCCATGGGCTATTGACTCATGCCTGCAATCCAGTTTGCTCTTCACCCATCTCTTCATGTAGACAATAACCAGAAACTATACTTACTGAGACAGCTTTAAAAGGTTAGTGCAGGGGTGGGGAACCTGTGGCCTCAAAGCCACACGTGGCCCTCTAGGTCCTCAAGAACAGCCCTTTGACTGAATCCAAACTTCACAGAACAACTCCCCATAACAAAAGGATTTGTTCTGTAAAACTTGAACTCAGTCAAAAGGCCTATCGCAGATTTGCTACATCCTTGGATAAGTCACTAAATCCAGCAGGGCCTCAGTTGCCTCAATTATATAATGAGGGAGGGTGGACTAGATAACCTTTGAGGTCGCTTCAAGTTCTCACAGTATCATAATATAATGATGATTTTTAAGATCAGGTAATCGTTCAACAAGCATTTATTACACATATTCTGTGTGCCAGCTGCTATGCTAAGCTCTGCCCATACAAAAATAAAAGCAAAGCCAGTTTCTTCTGGCTGTCGAAGCTATAATTCTATAAGTCTCTCCCACTTAGAAACTATGAATCTACTGTCGCAAGGATTCAGGACTCCAACTCACCCCCAATACTTTGGGCTTCCCTCTCAGGAATTTCTGCAGGGGTTCTTTCAATTGGTAGGATTGTACTATTGACTCCTGTGGGATGGCAATGGGGCCTGTCTGAGGAAAGGATGGAAATGTTCCCTTTGTAGCAGCCTGGGACTCCATGAGGTCACTTGTGATGCTGTAAGAAGAGAAGAGAAGTCATATGAAACAGGGGCTCAAGGATTCCCCTCCTTCATCACTCCCCCCCCCAAAAAAAAAGGTTGATGACATTACATCCAAAATAAGACAATGCAATCTTAGGCCACAATAAGAAAGGTATGGTGTCTGGAACAATGGAGTAGAGGGTGACATAGTCTTCTTTCCTGATCGGACCACAACTGGATATTGCATTCATAGGATCATATCATAGGGACAGCATTGATAAGATAGAGGGCATGGAGAGAAGGGTATCTACAATGGGAAAGGGGCAAGAGGCCATGCCATATGAGGGTTTATGAAAGGAATTGGGAATGGTTGTCCTGGAGAAGGTTTAGGTTGTTCAAAGGATAAAATGAAAAGCCTCAAAAGGTAGTAAAATCCAAAGGCAAAGTGTCATGTCCTTCCCAGGGAAAGAGAACAATCCTGAACATTTATTTTTTTAATTGTGAGTATAGGCTTGTGGGCATGGATCCAAGCACACTCTCTATCCCAGTACCAGATGTGACCAAAGACATACGTGCAAGAAAGCTGGGTTGTGATCATAGATCAAACTCCATGTGGGGTTTGAGACTGATTGGTGCTATGTGAATATCTGTCCCAAATAAGAAAGGCTAAGTCAGGCTTAGGGTCCTCCAGAGACCTTGAACTCCAACCACAAGGCCAAGGAAGTATGGGTAAAAAGCTAATCTATTCAACTTTGGGAACCCCCTCCCTTTGACTGAAGATGCCTGAACTGAAAGGTGAGTGAATCCCCATGTCCTCCTACTGTTTCTAGCTGATCCAAATGTCTAGACCATGCTACATCCTGTCCAGACATCTACCAGGATGCTAGGGTCTGGACAGCAAGGACATCTTGCCATTTACATCTCATGCATGCTCTCCCCATTCTTTGTCTTCACTTATCCTCAGGGAACAAAGGTCAGATTGGTCCTGAAAAGGACTCAGCAACTTATAGCCCTACATCTTCATTCAACATACCCTGTGACTATTAGACCAAAGCACTCTTCCCTTGCCACCGCTTGATTATACTTTTTGGACCCTATAGTAAAATTGAGACTGTCACACTTTTGGATTTGTTTCCTCACTTAGGGTATCTAGAAAGGGGCCAAGCACCTACTAGGTACTTCATGAATTCTTTTTAGTTGGCAAATTGATTGAGGGGAAACTGATTGGATGAGCCAGACAATTGGGATTATTGATCTGAATTAAAGGTGATGGGTAAGAAACAAGCTTTTCCAAATATGACTATGAAAAAGATCCATTTTATCATTGTGACCCCCCTTATGCCAGAGGCAAAGATGCCACACAGCTTAGACCTCTCTCTGCAAGTAGAGAAAAGACAGACTTTTCCCAGCAAGCCCCTTAGTCGCACAATTCACAATGGGGAAAGAACGGGTCTGGAATTGGGGAAATAAATATAGGAAACTAGGTTTGGCCAGCTTTCAGGAGCTCATTCTACTTGATTACTCTACTCCCCAAATCCTTTACTGAGAATCTAGCATATGTCCAGGCCTGGGATCGGTTATGCCAATGGGGAAAGGGGCAGAAGAAGACAAGGCCTTCAGCTCTTCATTTTCCATCAGTAGTTCGTTGCCTGAAATCTCATCATCATGGAGTTTGATCTAGTTTTGATACTCAATACCTTTTCAGCGCTCTCAGCTGCCTCTGTCCTGTAATTGGAGGAATGGTGAGTAGAGCAATAAACTCCTCCCACAGCCTTCCTTCCAGATAAACTCTCCGTTTCCCATCAGCTGATGTATTAGGTTTTGACTCCATGAACATCATACTCCTTTACCAGGTAGCTTTTGACAGCCTCCCCCTCCCCCTTTTCAGCTTCCTTTTGCATATTGTCTTCTCTCATTAAGTTGCAAGCTCCTTGTGGGCAGGGGCCATTTTTCCTTTTTATTCTTTGTATCCCTAGACTTGGCACACAGTAGGTACTCAATAAATGTTTCCCTCTGACTGTAACTATCTCCCACATCTCACTCTGGCCCGGGAGAAAGAATGGACTAATAAAGAGAACTTTAAAAGGAAGGAGTCTAAGCTACCTCTGGAGAGGTAGAGACTGCTAGGAGAAGAGACTGCTCTAGGAGGTCAGAAAAGAGATTACTGTGGGCTATCCCAGTGACCACAAGACCAGGCATCTACCAGGCAGTAGAAAAACTTGAGATGCTCTTTAAAGGGCAGTAAAATCATAATAGTGGAGAGGTGAAAAGTGAGTTTCTGTAGGCTCTGATTAGCAATGTCCCTTCCTTCTCTCTCTTCTGCCCATCATTCATCCTCTTAAAGATTAGAAGGCTCTCATGATACTCTGCAGGATAAGAGCTAGAATGAGGGTACATCCTATATATGTGTCAAAAGTGGGGTAAGGCTCTGTTCCAGAGCCCTATCCCCTAAGATACCTCTCACTTCTCCAGACTTAATCCCATCTGAACAATGAAATGTGGGAGTGACTGTCATCAAAGAAATATTCTTTTCCAAGTCAAGAGGCCCTGGTTGTACCTGAGAACCAAATAATGAATTTGGGGCTGAGAAATTCAGGACAGAAGGCTCAACAGGGCACTTGTCCATTCCTCTTGTCACCAATATTCAGATCAGAACTGGAGACTCCTTCCAGCTACCACTGAGGTAAAAATACTTGTGAGGCACAAGGGGCTCCCCACTATAAGGCAGTTCCTTTCAGAAGATCTTAACCTGGGTCAGACCAGGAAAGAGCTTTCTGGAAGAACTATAATGTCCCAATGTCTCTGCCCCTTGTCAAAAAGATCCTTTATCTTCATTTATGCTTCTGACCAAACCAGCGAGGGAGGGTGACTGAAGAACTCCCTCAAACCAAAGACATGAATGCTCCTTCTCCCAGAGGGATCCCCTTGGGCCGTTTCCACCCTCATCTTCTCTAAGTTTCAGCTTTTGTTAGAATCAGCTATGGGAGCCACCCAGGGTGCTTACCTGTCTGCTTCAAGTCTCTCTCCTCACACTTTGCCAAGACAGGGTACACGTTCCCCTTCCCCCCCACCCAGGGTTCCACCCTATCCTGTCTGCCTACTTCCCCCTGGCATGTTTCTCATCTCCCTGTGGTTTCCTCTACCTTAAAGAATGTACAGATTAGATGGCAGTAAGGAGAATTTCTCAACAAAGTGGACCGTTATTTCAAGTATGTAGGAAATAAGTAATGTTTCATTTTGTATTGCAAGAAATCTTTTCTTCTAATTTTTTAAAGTTTTGATTATAAATTCAGCGATCATAAACCATTAGGCACATTTCAAGAAATGAAGAAGAAAAGAGGAAAAGACTGTACAGGAAACTAAGTGGCCAGCTCACACATTGTTTTGTTTCTATTATTTTTTAAAGAAATCTATGTGTGAATGGCCCTATTCATACACAAATGTGTTGGTGAGTCAACAGTGAAAAATCATTTATTAAGAGTGTACTGAGCAACAGGCACTGTGCTAATTGCTGGGGATACAAAGAAAAACAAAAACACAGTCTCTACTCTGAAGGAGCACCCATTTTGATGGGAGATGCAACATGTAACTAAACTGAATATAATTGAAGATAAATTGAAGATAATCTCAGAGGGTGAAGCGGCATTTGTTTGTCTAGTGGTGAAGGAAGAGAGAGTGAACCAGAAAGATCCTTTGGCAGAAAGTGGGATTTTAGCTGAGTCTTGAAGGAAGTCGAGGAATTCTGGAGGTAGAGGTGAGAAGAGCATTCTCCTCATGGGGGTCAACCAGCGCAAAGCAACAGTGAAGGATATGGAGATGGAGAGCTATGTACAAGGAACAGTAAGTAGCACAGTGTGGCTGGATCATAGACTTCTTAGAGAGGAGTAACATGTAAAAGACTGACAATGCAGAATGAGGTCATGTTATGAAGCACTTTAAATACCAGGCAGAAAAGTTGATATTTGGCCTTGGAAGTAATAGGTGGTCCAATGGAGTTTTTGAGCTGGAGTCAGATTGTGCTTGACTAAGTTCACTTTGGCCTTGGAGAAGAGGACAGATTGGAGTGGAGAGCAACTGGAGACAGAGAGACCGACCAGAAAGCTATTGTTGCAATAGTCCATGAGAGAAGTGTTAAGTGCCTCTGCTAGAGTGGTGACTGTGTGAGTGGAGAGAAAGGGATTGTGAAGTTAGAAACAACAACGCTGATGACAGATATATGAAGGATGTATGCAAATTAGGAGTCTTTTTTCCCCTTATTTTCCATTATCACTCATTTTCTCACTCCTTCCCCTTTGTTGCTGGTTTCCCTAGAACCTGGATCTCAAACCTGTCAAAACCTCTTTCCAGGATGGACAGTTTGTTTTTTTTTATTTCAGTTTTCAGCGACTTCAGTCTTTGTCCCATATACCTTCAGGGAGGACATTAGTAGGCCCAGTTAGATGCTGGCCACTTTCCCTGTGGCTTAGAAGAGTGTCACATTGCCACACACACATCCTGCCCTAGGTCCCTCCATTCTTCATTTCTCTGCTGCAGCATAGAGTGTTGCCTCACCTTGAGCATTTATCTGCCTTTTGCTTTTGCAACATTTTTACCCCATGGTGGATGGTGGAGGACTGGGTGTTGGGTGAATAAATTATGGGTTAAGGCTCAGCCTTCTCTATCGTTAGTTTATTAAGATTTTACCTTACTTTGATTTTCGCTGTCTTAGATTGTGGAGGGAGCTGAAATTGGTTTTACGTCTTATACATAATTCCTATTTTGGAGAGGTCATAATGATTAGAAATGTGTGGTCCTCCATAGTGTTGGTCAAATGAATGGGAAAGGGCTAGTGATGAGTCAAAGATATGGAAGTTGCTCTTGTGATAGTCCAAGAGAAAGATAATGACGGCCTAGTTGAGTATTTGTGTGACTGGAGAGAAGGGTACACATAGGAGAGATGTGAAGTTAGAAACAACAAGGTTTGGTGACAGATTGAATAGATGGGCAAGTGACAGTTAGAATCAAAGATGGCATGGAAGTAGAAAGCATGAGAGGCTAGAAGGATGATGGTAGCCTCAGTAGTAATAGAGAAGTTTGGAAGAGAGGAGAGTATTGGGGGGGAGGAAGAAAATGAATGTGTAATTAAACTTAACAGGTTAATGACAAATTGATCTCTACGTCCTTCAGTATGCCCTTTCCTTTCCATGTTTAAGCCCTTTAAAATGCTTTATTGATTAGCTTTGTTCTGGAATATCACCACACACCATCTACCTCTCACACCCCTACATTCAGTATACTTCTTCCCTTATTGCCTAATGAGTCTCAGGAATACCTTGTTTTCTTCAAGGAAAAGCACTAGGCCTGGAATCAGGAAGACCTGAGTTCAAATCCAGTCTCAGACACTTACTAGCTATGGGCTTTAAGCAAGTAACTGCCTCAGTTTCCTCAACTGTAAAAATGGGGACAATGCTATCACCTACTTCCCAGGGTTATTGTGATGCTCAAGTAAGGTAATACTTGTGAAGCACTTAGCTCAGTGTCTAACACATAATAAGTGCTTAATAAATTATTGCTCTTTCCTCTTTCCCTTCAAGACTCCCTTCAAACCCCACTTATTGCTTGAGACCTTTCCTGGCCCAGTTGACAGTGTAATAGTGTAGTCCTACATCAAAGGCCTTCCCCTCAACCCCAAGTTAGTATATGTAGAGAAGGAGGTACAGGAAAGGAGTGCCTCAGACACAGTACCCTTAGGTTTCAGGGATGGGGAACCTTTGGCCTCGAGGTCACACATGGCCTTCTAGGTCTTTGTGTGTGGCCTTCAGACTGAGTCCAAGTTTTACAGAACAAATCCTTTTATTAAGGGGATTTGTTTTGTGAAGTTTGGATTTAGTCAAAGGACTGCACTTGATGTAGAAGGCCATATGTGGCCCTGAGGCCTCAGGTTCCCCACCCCTGGATAGTCTGAGTCAGGGTGTCCTGCCTGGGCTGGTGGAAAGAAGGTTACAAATGACAGTTAGAAATGACTGTCACTGAAGGGAGGTAAGAGGTCCTGCTTAGGAAAGAAAATGCACCTATAATGTAAATGCCCAGGAACAAAGCATTATCAGCATGAAAGGCTGGAGTTGTACCTAAGAACATGACAATCAGTTCTAGGCTGAGAGAGGTAAACTGCTATCCCCAAAGAGTACAAGGAAGAAGGAAGCCTGAGAGGGCACAGGCACCAGGTATTGCTTCTGAGATCTGAGAAGCCAAGGCCGTCAATGTCCAGAAGAGTTGACAATGTATATGTTGACTTGCCAGGATTCAGGATTAAAGACTATCAGCTAGTGTTCTGACATTTTCCTGACTCCATAAAACCTGAGTTGAAATAAGGAAGAAGATCTGAAGAATAGTTTGGAACTTCCAGAGAGTGTGAAGAGTACCGGACTTAGAGTCGCAGACCCAAGGCTCGAACCCTGCCTTTACTAATCCCCATGTGTGTTGTCCTGGGCAAAGAACTTGAGCCTTCTCTCCTCTTCCTTTGCTTTACGCACATTGGGTAAACCTCTATGATACAGGACATAGGAACTACAGTAAGGACAATAAAATTCATAAACTAACCAAATGCCATCCTGCCCTCTCTCTTCACTCCAACCTCCCATAAAAAAAAAAAAAAGGAAAGAAAAGAAAAGAAAAGAAATCATGGTTTATTTCTTTGGGCGAGGCAAAGACAACCAGAATCTATTGCTGGCTTCTCTTGACTTGAAATTTGTGCTTTTGACTGTTTTTTTTTTAAACAAAAAGAAAGAACGTTCATGGTGTGCACAAATATGGAAGAAGTGTGGATCAGAGGACAGAGGACTAGATTTGGCAGCAGGGAACTTGGGTTTAAATCCTGGACCTACCATTCCATCTATGTGATTTGGAGTGAGTCAGTTACTCTCAGTCTTTATCTAGAAAGAGATGGCCTCTAAGACTATTTTCAGCTCTAAATCTCTGATCCTACTCAAGATCATGACTGTTTTGAAGAGGATTATATTATTTATAGCTGGAAAGAGCCATGGAGGTCTTCAGGTCCAGTTTTCTCTTCCTATAATTAGAGAGAGCTACTTAAATTGTCATTTTTTTTAAGATTATGAGAGGAGAACTAGGGTTCAGCTGTGTTTCGGGACAAACTATTAACTTTGGTGGCTTAAGAGAAATAGTGAAAAGACTGAGAGAAAAATCTAAAAGAACTGCTTTACATTGAGAAGTGTTTAACTTTTACCTTTTGAAAACAAAGAAGCATTAAGAAATGAATTCCTGAGGAGACACTATAATTGGCATTTTGGGAGAGCTGAATGGTAGGCCTGTGTTTCCAGACTGGAGAAGTCAGCACTGGTAGTGATGATTAGATGTGACATTGAATGCGATTGTTGCCAGAGCAGATGTATTTTCAGTAATTACTTATGCCTTTTTATTGTTCCTTACATTGTTAATAAATTGTATAGACTATGAATTTAATATGTATTTAAACTAAGGAGACTGATGTGTATAGATGTGGCTTTCTGTATACTTTCTGTATGGGTGTGGTCTATACAGAAAGAGATAAGCAAAAGTTTACAGAAAAAGAGCTTTCTCTGGCTTAGGTTACAAATAATGTTTCATAAACTGGAGTAAGGGCTCAGAAATGATTGACCAATTGATATGAGAAATGTTGCAATTTTAGTAATTAGTTAGAAATTATCAGAACACAATTTATTTTCCTAGAACCTAGGATGAAAATGAAGTCATGTAATTGAATCTCCCCATTTTATGTATAAGGAAACTGAGGAGTAGAGATGTTAAGTGACTTTTCAATGGCCTCACAAGTATTAAGGGTCAGAGGTGACATTCAATTTCAGTTCCCATGATGTCAACTTCAAGACTCCAAGATCAATACTCTTTCCACTGAGTCACACACTACAGCATATGGAGCCTTGATGGAGTCAGAAAAGCTATAAACAGAGTCAGGTGTGGAGTCAGGAAGACCTGAGCTCAAATTGTGCTTCACACACTTACTTCCAAGCTATTTGACCCTGAACAAGTCA